CATTCCAAAATCAAAGCCCCTTTTATCAATATTATTAATCATAATATATATTACAGATTAAATACTTGCTCCCAAGAACAATTCAACAACTATAATGGCATTTATTTATTATTAGTATTATAAAAACCAATCAAATGAAATTAATTATAACCAAAGCATATGTTGCTATTGCTTCAATGTCTTAATAAAGTAGTGAATGGTTACTTACGCTTTTATGCCATCCCTTGAGTTAATGCTATAATATTCCAAAATTGATGGTTTATTAATGTTCCACATTGGATATAACATCAAGTTAATTTACAAATATTTATTTTTTAAAAAACTTCATCAATTGATATATACTAAATATATTACAAAAGGAAATTGCAAAGGGATGTCTTCTTCAACCTAGAACCAATGCTTTCATTCCACACAGAAAATTCAAATCATATAGTAGTTTTAACAAAACACCCATATCAAATAATTATTCATCATCATGTTCCATATGATATATTTAACCATCATATAAGAAAAAGCTTCAGGTGTTGTACTTGATTATATATAAGGATGCATTAATGCATTTCAAAATAATTCCTTTTCACAAAATAAACAAAACTTGCTCTACGAAATAAGTATAGATTCAAGTAATTGTGTTTTACATGTCTGTATATTCAACAAGAACACAATCATTTCTAGATTTAATAGCCATAGGAAACCCTGACGCTATCTTTCTGCCAACATTTAGTCAATGTTCCATAATATTCTCAATACTAAAACACAATAATTTTCAAGTAGCCATTGCCCCCCAACACACACATCAATTTAAATGATGGCTCGAAACCACTAAAAGCAAATTCTAGAAATCACTAGAATCATAACTTTTCATACCTGCTTAATTACACATTGGAAAGATATGTTGGTGTGAGCCAAGAAAGTCATGAAAAACCTCAATATCAACATGCCCTTTTTTTAAGTTTTACACTTCATATTATGATCCTAATCAGTAGCCGATAGCTCTTAAGATTGTTGGCGTCGAGAGAAAAATTATAGTCTGAGTCGTGCCCAAGTTATTTCGCTACACTGGGTTGATAAGCGGTAACTCCTCAAAATTAAATAAATTCTTCCTACTGAAAGTAGGGACACAGAACAGCAAAAATTCATAAAATAACCTCATGTATATGCACAACAAAGCAATATGATAAAAGAGGAGGGAAAGGCTAAGAGCATAAAAGCTCCTCCAGAACATGTGGCAAGCACTGCCTTTTATAAGCAGATCTTATAATACTAGGCAATAAAATCACCTTAAGAACAATTAAAAAATAGTTACAAAAAATAAAAAGGTTAAATAAATATATTTAAATAGGGGGTTATGGTAATTAATATTAATTTAATTCATACTAACTCCTTTTGAAATACTAAAGATATTCTATAATATCCAACAAAATCACACCATCAAAGAAGAACACAATAATGGAGATAAGAGAGAATGGTGCAAAGGTCGATAGAGGAGGTGAAGATGACGTCGAAGATCTAAAGGAGGTGACAGTAGAGTCTGAAAATGTGAAGGAGATTATGCACATGGCTCACCAAGGAGATTTAAGAAAAAGTGAAGGACATTTTAGTCAGTAAAGATAATTTCCCAAGAAAATTATATTTTTCATAGGCCTAACTCTAGAAATTTCCACTCTCTTCCTTGAAAATCATTTCCTAAGGGTTCAATTTGATATTAACCAAACCTAAGAAAATGTGAAATTCCATTCTCTTTTCTTTTCTTGAATCAAAATTCCAGTGAACCAAATGGGTCCTTAGATTTTAACTCTTTTCTTGTCTTCACTCTTCCCTCATTAACATCCCTTAATAGGATTGACATTAAAATGCACATTGCATATAGTGATTAAGTTTAATCTATATAAAGAAATTGAAAGAATATTAGAGAAAAATTGACAGGTTGGGGCCGTAACCCTTAAGAGCCATTATGCTTCCTGTTTTTTTTTTAAGTTTGAATAGTTAATATTTTAAAAATAATTTATAAATTTTGGATAAATATTCATAAATAATATTTAAATTATTAAATATTAAAATATTTTATATTTTAACAGTATTTATTAAATTTAATATAAAGTTCCTAGTGCTTTTCCAAAAAAATCAAGAATAAAAATAAACCCTTTTATTTTAACAAAACTTAAGGTGCCCAACGTTCCTAAAAAAATATTTAAGGGTAAATTAGCATAAAAAATATGGTGAGAGTCCTACCTTTTGCTATGCATAGGCCCATACACATGTCATGTTAGCAAAGAATGGCAAAGTTAATAGATAACCAATGAAAGTATTTTTTTGTTGTTGAAAAAATGTTTTAGGAGAGACATTGCCTCACTTATTAGTATAGGATATCCAAAACAAATTTATAGGATATCCAACGCACCTTGAAAACAAGTTTAGACTGTTTCTTGATAAGTTTGTGATTGTTTTTATTGATGATATTTTGATATACTCAAAGAGCCCAGAGGCGCATGAACATCATTTGTGAATTGTTTTACAGACAATGAGGGAGCAACAACTTTATGACAAGTTCTCTAAATGTGAATTTTGGCTTGATAAAGTTACTTTCTTAGGAGATGTAGTTTCTAAAGATGGTATTCAAGTGGCTCCAAGCAAAGTAGAAGCGGTGTAAAATTGGCCAAGACCGACGACTGTTACAGAAATTCGCAGTTTCTTAGGTCTTGCAAGATATTATCGTCATTTTGTCAAGGATTTCCCTAAAATAGCTGCTCCACTGACAAGGTTGACTCAGAAGAATGTAAAGTTTGAATGGGATGACAAGTATGAAGACAATTTTTAAAAGCTCAAGGAGTGTTTAACTTCGGCACCACTTTTGAGTTTACCATCAGGCAATGGAGGATATGCAGTTTATTGCGATACTTCTCGTGTGGGTCTAGGCTGTGTTCTAATACAGCATGGACGAGTTATTACTTATGCCTCAAGGAAACTTAAGAAACATGAGCAGAACTACCCAACCCACGACCTAGAGATGGCAGCAGTTGTTTTTGCATTAAAAATTTGGCATCACTATCTTTATAGAGAGACCTGTGAAATTTATACGGATCATAAGAGTCTTAAGTACATTTTTGAACAAAAAGATCTTAATCTTAGACAAAGAAGATGGATGGAGTTGCTGAAAGATTATGACTGTACAATTGTTTGCCATCCTGGCAAAGCAAATGTGGTGGTTGATGCCTTAAGCAGAAAGTCGATGGGTAGCTTGGCACATATAATTTTGACAAGGAGGCTTTTGGTACAAGAAATTCATAAACTTGAGCATAGTAGAGTCAAGTTTGAGGTTATTGATAAGGAAGCATTTCTGGCTCATATACAAGCTCGTTCTTCTTTAATGGATCAAATTAAGAGCACTCAATTTTTAGATCCAAAATTATGCAAGTTAAAAGAAGCAGTCATAGCTAGAAGTAACACTGAGTTTAAAATTGACCAGGAAGGAATATTAAAGTGTAAGGCTAGAATTTGCGTACCACAAGAGGAAAACTTGAAGTGATTTATCATGGAAAAGGCTCATCATTCTGCATATACCGTGTATCCAGGAGCAACTAAAATGTATCAAGATTTGAAACAATTGTATTGGTGGGATGGCATGAAAAAGGATGTGGTAGACTTTATCTCACGCTGTTTGACATGCCAGCAAGTTAAGGAGAACACCAGAAGCCAGCTGGGCTACACCAAAGGTTAGAAATACCAGAGTAGAAATGGGAAAATATCACAATAGACTTTGTCACCGGGTTACCTCACACTACTAAGGGGTATGATTCTATCTGGTTATTGTTGATAGACTGACGAAATCAGCTTATTTCATTCGAGTGAAGACAACATATAGTGCTGATAAGTATGCTCAATTGTATATTGATGAGATTGTGCAACTGCATGGGATTCCAATATCCATAATTTTTGATAGAGGTCCGCAATTTACTTCTCGATTTTAGAGATCTATCCAAAAAGCTTTGGGTACTCGATTGGATCTCAGTACTGCTTTTCATCCGTAAACCGATGGCCAGTCTGAGAGAACCATTCAGATACTTGAAGATATGTTAAGATCTTGTATTTTAGACTTTGGTGGCAGTTGGGACCGTTACTTAGCTTTGATAGAGTTTGCTTATAACAATAGTTATCAATCTAGCATACAAATGGCCCCATATGAAGCACTTTACGGCAGGCAATGTATGTCTCTTATTGGATGGTTTGATGTTAGCGATACTAAACTTTTGGGACCAGATTTGGTGCAAGATGCTATTGAGAAAGTGAAAATAATTAGAGAAAGATTAATAACAGCTCAAAGTCAACAGAAGTCTTATGTGATAATCGATGTCGAGAATTAGAATTCATGGCCAGGGATAAAGTATTCCTTAAAGTATCTCCTATGAAAGGGGTAATGAGGTTCGGCAAGAAAGGTAAACTGAGCCCAAGGTATGTGGGACCATTTGAGATTTTAGAAAGAATTGGTGCAGTTGCTTATCGTTTGGCATTACCACCTGAACTGTCGAGTATTCATCCGGTGTTTCATGTATCAATGCTACAGAAATACTTATATGATCCTTCTCATGTAATTAAAACTAAGGAGATTCAAATATCCCCAAACTTATCTTATGAAGAAATTCCAGTGGCTATCTTGGATCGACAAGTTAAGAAGTTACGGTCGAAAGAAATCGCTTCGGTGAAAGTGTTATGGTGTAATCATTCTCAAGAAGAAGCTACATGGGAAATTAAAGCCGATATGCGTGCTAAGTATCCACACCTATTTGTGGATTAAGGTAAGCACAACTTTAAATTCAGAGGACCGAATTTTCTAAAGGGGGAAGAATGTAATAACCCCAACAAAATTTAAACTAAATAAATAATATATATATATATATATAGGGCAACTTACTTAAAGTGTGTTTATATTAGTTTTTGGGATAAATATAGCAAGTTAGAGACTTGGTCTAGTGGCAGTTGAGGAAGACTTCATATATCAGATCCCCAGTTTGAATCCGGAAGAGTACAAAAGAAGAGTTGAATTTTTTTTATTTTTCTGGTCATGCAAAATTACTAAATTGCCATTGGTTTCATCAGATTTTTTCAACTCTTTCTTTCTTCTTTCTCGATGGATCTAGACTAGAGAAAGAGTTTTGAGAGCACTGACATTCTGCGCTGCCTCTCAACTGAATCTGCCTTCTTCCTCCTCCCCCGAAGCCAGCACCGTCATTCGTGTAGCCATCGTCGATGCTGTGCTTATCCGTTCGCCTCAAATGTGATTTTCTTCTCGAGTTACTACTCTTCGTTTGCCTCTGCTGCTGATTCAAGTATGAAAAGTCTTTCTTTCTCTTAGCTTCTAGTTCACGTGGGCATAAAAGATCTAGTTTTTCTTCAATGTTCATCATCATCCTCCTTCCTCTATCCCTGCATGTTGATTCATTTAAGGGTGTATGGAAGAACAAGACCCTGAAAAGACTTAAAAGAAGAATACTTTCGGGAATTTAGAACTTTAACAGGTAAGTGAATAGCATTCCTTATGAGTATTCATTGAAAATCTTTTATTAAAATATTTCATTTTTATGAATTATGTTAGTTTTAGAAATTTTGAACTAATGATAAATAATAGTCGTATTATGATTCATGCATTTTTTCAAGAAATATATCTTTAATATTGATAAAGGCACCCTTGCCTATTGAATTTTAAAAATCTCTTGATTACATGATTAGCGCAAGTTGTACATTCGTTATGGTGTATCGATTTGATAAGTTTCATATATTTGAAGTTTCATAGTTTGATCTTGAGAATGAAATTTGACTTCACAAATAATTATTTTTCTCGCATGTTTGAAATGGGATTTATAAGAGAACTCTATACAGAACATGCTACTAACGGCAGTTCCGTTAGTCCGTAGCGCGCTGTGGTTAAACACTAGCTAGTTTGTTTCGTGAGTTTTATTCTCATATTTGCTATTCGTGGGCTTCGTACTTGCGTTTGATTCCGTGGCTTGAGCTGCGTTTGGTTATTTACCCTTGTGGACTGAGTGTCCACGTTTGTAACCTGTTCTGTTAAGTTTTCAAATTTTTAAATGTTAATTATTATGTGTTTTCAAATTTTACTTGATTTTTACTAGTAATTTGTATCACTTTGAGCTATATGAGAGCAGATCGTTTTCTTTAAGCATGATAACATAAATTATTTTTAATTTATTCTTATTTTACAAATATGATTATGACTTACATGCTTATAAATTTTGGTAAAATTACTTTCAATTTTCTTGACACCATTATTAGAGATTGTCAATTTAAATTTTAAAGATTTTATCATGGGAATGCTATTTACTGGAAAAAAATTATTTGGCCTTAGATTGGTTAGCTGATGCTGATTCCACCAACGACCTTAAAAGGGCAACTAGCGACAGTGGGTGGATCTTTTTGATTGGTACTGTTGCTTTAATTTAAATATATGATATGTATGTCTTTTTGATTTGAAAAGAAAGAGTAGATGCTCCACATAAGTTGTTGGTGAATCTTATTTTTGTCTATATATATTGGTTGTTGGCTGGAAGGAGCTACGCTCCTGACTTATACTGTTATTTGTAAAAAATTTTGTTGTAGAATTTTCAAGAGATCCTAGTTATAGGGAAAGTTCTGCCAAAATTTTTACAAAAAACGTCGACACTTTCTTATGATAATGAATTTAAAGAAATTATTTTAATTCCCATGTGATTTGATTGAATTTTGTTCTTTTCTTAAAAAAATGAATGAAATAAATGTTCACTTGGAGGCTTACGAGAATGTGAGAATGGTTCACACCCATGCCGGTTACCCTCTATTTTTGGGGCGTGACAAAATTCATATTTGTGATTTCAATCAATAGATCTTATGAGATCAACAAATAATATATATTCAAAATATTTTTATAAAAACTAATAAATCATGGATTTATAAACTATACCAAAAATTTCATTGCAATATGTAAGAAAAATTTACATTATTTTTTAAATGTAAAGAATATATTTGGAAGTCATCAATTATATATTTATAAAATATTATTATTATTATATATTTATAAGAAGATATACTGTGATTGAAAAAATAAAAATATATTTTTAAAAAAATATGTTAATCCGCAGACTAACCCATTTAACCTACAGGTTAATCCATTTTAACCCACTAATTTTATAGGCTGGGCTGGCCTAGCCCATTTTTATAAAAATGTACTAATCTTTTTAACCCAACACGTTAAATTTGGCAAATTAAACGAGCTAGCTTGTAGGCTCAACTCGGTTCCTATGAAGAGGCAACATTAAATGATGGTATTGGTATGACAAATTGTCGTATCCATGGATAGATTTTAGGAAAAAATAAAACTTCTTTTTATCTATCTTTTCCCATAAGGAAATAATGAGCGTTAATTCGTTCCAATTTGGATTAATGCTGCATTTGGCTTGTAAGGAAAAATATGAAGGAGATAAAATGAAGAGAAGAGAAAAATAGAGAAATACAATTTTCTCCTACTGTGCTTGTTTGAACAAGAAAAAAATAAGGAAGAGAAAAAAATTATTAATTTTATATAGACAATAATAATTTTATTATTTATAAAATATTTATATATAATAAAATTTAATATTTAAAAAAATTATATATGCAATAATTTCTATCATGTATTATTGATTAAATAAAAAGATAATTATAAATTATTTTATTTAATATTGAACAAAATTATTTTAAGGAGAATTATATTGAAGTTTCACACAAGCAAATTAATTATTGTAAGATCCATTAACAGTTGAACTAAACTGTATTGATAACACAATCGATTGTTAATGCAGTTTTGTTCAGTTATTAATAAACTTTATAGTAATTAATTTTTTTATGTAAGACCTAACTGTAATTTTTTCAATAAGATTTAGACCACTTTAACACATGAAATTTTTTAAATCTCACCTTGCGGTGGTCAACTGCCCGAAGCTTTTTATACTTCGCTTTCATCCGGAATGTAGATGCCACCCTTCCGGGCTCAAGGCTTTTCTAACTGATTGGCTGAAAAATGCAAAAATAAACAAGAATATGCGCCAGTTGGAAACCGAACCGGGTCTATATCTTGGCAGGGTATCATTCTACCTCACATTTCAATTTTAAATATCTCAAATATACTTTAAAATTAAATATATAACATGATTTATCAATTATAATATATAATTAAAAAGACTCATCACTACAATACAATAAAATAATAAAGTAATAATATTAAAATCAATATATAAGTTCAATATAATTAAAAACATAATTAGAAATAGCAAATAGATTAATTAAAAATTAAATTATAAAATTGATATGCATAATATATTACATAATTATGTGTGTGTGTATATATAGGTTGGACTATTGAGCTTGTAGGATAGGCTTTGAAAAATTAGGCCCAGTCTATTTAAGTAAATAGGCCTAATTAAAAACTTAAACTTAACTTAAATTTATTTAGTAAATAAGTTATGTTAAGCCTGAAGTAAGTCAGAGAGTAAGCTCTTGATAAGACCTGGCTTATTCCCATCTCTACCAAGAAGAGAACAGGTAGCAGTGCTGTGACCACCGTCAAGCAGGTCATGACGCTTGCCAAGCATCACAGCCATGCCCAATTCACACTCCCTTTCATGTAGCCAGTAGCCATGCTCACCTTTACCAACGGCCTCCTCCACAAGGTTGAGTTGACCTATATATATATATATATATATAGCAGTGCGCTCCGTGTATATGTGCACTCCGAAAGCGGTGCACCTCGATTGTCCAATTGAATGTATATATAGTAGTGCGCTCCGTGCACATGTGCACTCTGAAAGCGGTGCACCTCGCTTGTCCAATTGAATAGCCACCTATAATGTTAGAAGAAATTGACGAGGAAATTCATGACGACATTAGGAACAATACATACTAGAGAGAGCAACCAAGTCCTTGGTGGGGAGGTCAAAGGAGGATAAATTGGAGATGAGTTGGTTAAGGTTAGATGTAGGCATTGGAATTGAGCCATGAAGAACAGCTTGCACCACAACAAGAAGCATATTCTTTGTTTTATATTCAAAAAATAAAGATAAATAGAGTGAAAACATGACTCTTGAAAAAGATGGTGAACACGACGAAGAAAGAGAGGAGGAGCTCGATGGACTAAAGGGTGCCATGGATGGAGTCGAATGGTGAGGTTGCGAGTGTTAGAGGCCGCCAACTCTAGTTCCTAGAGATCGAGGTTAACAGTGGAAGGAAATGACACCTCCATTCTCTCTCTCTCTCTCTCTCCCCCCCTCCCTCCCTCCCTCCTTCTCCCTCATCGTTCTCTTACTCTCCCTCTCCTTCCCTCTCTCTTAAATACCAACAACGTGAAGATGGATGATCAAGTCCTGTGGGTAGGGTGGAGCATGTTGGATCAAGTGTCAAAGGAGGAAGAGCTATGGAGTGTGTTGGATTATAGAGCGAGAGAACCAGAGGTTATGATGATGATGTGGGAGGATGAGCAGAAACCGTCCAGGGTCATAGCTCCTTGCTCATGTAGAGATGAGAGATCAATGGAGGAGAAGGAGGAGAAAGGTGGACAGAGAGAGAGACAGAGAGAGAGAGAGAGAGAGTGGAGAGGAGATAGATGAGGGAGATGGTGATCAGAAAGCGTGGTCAAAATGCTGGGTGATCTAAGAGAGGGTGTAGCCCAAAAATATATATAAATGCTAGAAGTGCAAAATGATAGGCCCCACTAATGGCATCTTTAAGTGCGTTAACATTTTCAAACATCTAATGACTGACAAAATTTAATGTCCAGTTCAAGACATTCATTAACTTTTAAAGAAAAAATTAAAGATAAAAATGACTCTTAACCTTTATTTTATATTTTATATTGATCTTCTTTTAATGATAACATTAGAAGTAATTTATGTGATTCGTCAAAGGCTAAATCAAGTTATCGTCACGGCGTCATTGAAATGTTTATTTCAGTTATATCTGCCAATGAGGTGCGGGTGCACCTACTTGCTCCCTCATCCCATGTCATGAACAACTAATTCCTTCAGTCAAATCTACTTCATCAGGAAGACGTAACCAATATTCATGAGAACATGCGCAACGAATCCCACATCGTATTAATACAATAATATATACATGTATATATATAATTCATATTTTGGAAATATTACCAAGGACAATCTCGCACATAGATTTAGAACTTAAGAATGCCCCATTCTCAAAACGTCAAACCCAGGCTATTATTCATCGTATCTATTACCTGGTTTCCGAAGCCTATGTTCATAGCTTGCTGATATTGCCGTCATAGTTACCTTCAGAACACAAATTACAGCCTTCTCCGTTCATATTGAGCCCTTGGAATCTTTTGGCGGCGTGTTAGCAAACCTCCAGCTGAATTGGTCCCTGCTCTTGAAGTATCGATCACCTGCCACCTCATCAATCGGAACTGTCTCAGAAATTTCTCTGAGGTCCCTATCTGTAAGTTTCACAGCTAAGACACCCAAATTTTGATCTAGGTTCTTAATCTTTGTTGTTCCTACGAAGGTACAGAAGATTCATGTCAGCTGATACAAAAACATTACCACTGCAACAAAATAAATGAACAAGATAATAACTACACTACGGTCATTTAATTTTGATATAAATTGAACAAGGCGCGGCAATGAATTTGAACATTTGACATACTATTTCAACTTGATGAAATATAACACTAAATCTTTTTTCGAACTCCAAGCGTGCAGAGGGATCTAAGCACAGTTAAGAGTCATGTTTTTCAGCAACAATCTTGAAACCTTTATTGATAAAGTACATTGTTTTGTTTAATAAAGCCAAGAGAATGCCCACAGACAGACATACACAACGCATGTTGGTTTGTACAGACAACAAAATAACAAGCCTTAATTAACCATCGGAATCAGAGTAGCGAGTTTAAATAGGAATATAGGCATTAGGGAGCAAGCGACTCACCAGGGATAGGCGCAACATCATTGCCTTGTTGGAGTACCCATGCTAATGCTAGCTGAGCAGGAGTGCACTGATGCTTCCTAGCAACGTGTTCTATTCGATCATATATTTTCTTGTTCTTCTCCAAATTCCGTGACTGGAAGCGGGGATACGAGCTCTAATGTGCAAAACAATGCAACTATCAGACAACTGTGGCTCTTAAATAAAAAACGGTTTTGCCCTTTCAATGCTTTAATTTAGCAATAGTGGTGAAACATTGCGAGGTATTACCCTGCACCAATGTTCCTTAGAGACTAGCACGGCCAAAAGGGCTTAGCTATGCAATAAGGATAGTGGTTATAAAAATATTATATTGAAGGACAAAAGAAACAACCTGACTACTGTTTCAACTAAGGATTGAAAAGCAAATGCAAAATATAGTTATATTATGTACCAGGGAGCTAACTGCAGGCACAGTTTCCACAACTCCTCGGCCACCAAAAAAGCCACGACCAAGAGGGCTATAAGGCACTATTCCGATCCCAAGCTCTCTACAGAAAAAATCCATCAAGAAAGTTAACTCACATTACCAGAGGCACTGCTTCAAAAGGCAAAAACGCAGAATGCAACAACGGAGTTTTGGTTTTAAACATTCGCTTTGAGCTATTGTAATGAATTCTTTAGGGTTGTGAGAGAGTTGTGATTTAAGAACTGCTAGAACTAACCTACATAGCGGAACTATCTCTTCTTCAATGTCGCGAGTCCAAAGAGACCACTCTATTTGCACAGCTGTTATGGGATGAACCGTATGTGCTCTCCTAATTGTATCAGGACTGGCTTCAGACAGCCCAATATATTTAACTTTTCCTTCTTCCACCAGTTTCTTAAGTTCACCAACCTATAATGCAACAAACTCATGAGAAATGTATAATGCTGGGCCATTTTAATACTACCTACGTTTCTTTCTATAAGAAACAAACCCCTGCTTTCTCAATACCAAGGAAAGTAGGTAAATTAAGTTATAAGCTTTAAAAATAATAATAGTACAGATGTATAACTTTTTTTTTTAAGCAATACTCTTAATTTAAGGAAATTGACCAAATTGGCCCATTTATCATCTCTCCTCATTAATAAAGGCTTGACTGGAAAATCAAAATAAATGTTTTAGACAAAAGTTAATTGTTTCTTATAAATAGGAACAGAATTACACTCCCAAAATTCTCTTATAAATAAAAACGGAAGGACAAAAATTTACAGGATATTTCAGAGGAAGAAATTGCTAACAGTGTCTTCTATTGGCACTGACTTGTCCACCCTATGCTGATAATAGAGATCAATGTATTCCACATCAAGCCGTTTCAAGCTGGCTTCACAACATGAACGCACATATTCGGGGGTACCCTGGACCTGAATATCAGTAAGGAAATTTGCATCTGCCTTAATACCAAATTTCGTTGCCAGCTGGATTTTTTCTCGAGGCAACTCCTTTATGGCCTGCTCAACCAAATTAAAAAATTGACATGTTTAAGCAAATATCATGCCAGTGAGCCAATAAAATATGTAAAAGTTTAAAAGTGAAACATTAAAATAAAACAGACCTTTACTAGTTTATAGTTACTTTAACGTGCAAAAACATTTAGAGATAAATTTTCTTTTTTCTTTGACAATAAGGAGAAATTCTTTTTTCTTTTTAACAATACGGAGAAATTTCAACTGCAAGAGCATTGAGCCACTTCTCCTGCTCTCGAGATCTTCTTTCATATAAAAATGACGTGATTTTCAAGTGCACAGCCTTTTTCATAAACCAGAGCCAAAATTATTACATGAACCAACAAAACATCAAAATCAACAGAGAAATATTATATTCCACTATGGCACTATGTTATGTACGTGAATTGTCGCAAGTGCCACGGTTTCCTTCCCAAGTTCTTTTGTGGGTTTAGCTGGCTCATAATCTTTAAAGGTCCAATAGGGGAAACTTGCCGAAGAAGAAGGAAACAGTGTGATTTAAATTGAAACGTTGATAACCTTGTTCAACAGTCATTGATCATTGCGTATTCTTTCCCCATGGAACTATGCTTCATGACCAAGACAATAATCTGTTAATCAGATCAGATATTGCAGTGTATTGTGCTCAAGGCTTCATTTTCTTGTTTGTGATGACCGATTGCACATATATTCATGCAAACACACAGAAAAAGATTGTAAACGACATCTGTTGAAGGTGATCAATAATCAGAGATTGGGTTATATGGAAGGAATTCCTAACGATGCAGTGATTCAAATTCATAACAGGATTAGTGTAGGGCAGCAGGACACATGCAATGTAAATATAGGGATAAGCCGTAAGGATGGATCATCGTCACCTTTCCTACCAAAACTTCGTTCGTATTGGCTCCATAAAAGTCGGACGTATCAAAGAACGTAATCCCTTTACTGAATGCATGCTTGATAATGGATATTCCGACCTCTTCAGGGACAGGAGCGTTATAGACTCCAGTAAGGCCCAGACAACCAAATCCCAACTTGGAAACCTGAACTATGTAAATGTAAGGCACGAGTCGAGCGAGGAAACACGAATTAATAGACAACTTACGGATAGACATCCGATACATAATTGACCAGAGAAGTCGAATGAATTACTAAAAAGATTTAATTAGTCGGAAGGCTAATAACGAAGAGAAGAAAAGGAGAAGCAATTGAAGTGGATACCTCAAAACCTAGGGTTCCAAGTTTAACACGAGGCATGTGTGGCGAGGCCATTTGCGGAGAACGGATTTCAGTTGTTGAGTATCAGACTGTACATCCAAAGGCCAAAGGGGATGCGGGTGGAAATAGCGGCGTTCGGTGGAGTGATCAATCGTGAACTGGGCAACCGTCACGGAATAGGACGGCGAGACTAGAGAATCGGGGGGCCACATTTAGATAAGGAGAGTGACATTTGTGGGAGCCGCCGCACTCAAGCCCCGATTCCGTAACACCATCTGCACTCGCTGCCTGTTCTTTTCTTCCCGCGCATTAATGAAATTTGACGTTCTACGGTATAGCTGATGGGTTAGATTCTATGTTGATGGTTCCATCAACTTCAACGGCATAGCTAGTTGTGAAGGACTTGTAAAAAATGATAAAAGCAACTAGATTAAGAGTTTTTTTTTTTTTTTTTTTAATTTTAACTATCAATCCAACACTATAGCAAAATTATTAAATTAATAGAGGGGTTCAACCTTTGTTAAAATATTAAGTTTATCAAGATGAGTGTTTATTTAGATTCTTTAAAGGCTCTATCCTTCATTGATTATAGCCATATAAATAGTCACCATCTCTTAACTATTATCAAAAACATTAAGAATATCACCAGATGAAATTGGAAGATTACATTTAATCACAATTACAGAGAAACTAATAGATGTGTTGATCTTCTGACATATAGGGCTTCTAAAAAATATTTTGATATTATGTTATTTGATAGATCGCTTAATAATTGTAAGAGTCTTATGACTTTCTGACTTGACTTGATTTTGGTGTTATTGCACAATTTTAACCATGGCCTTATATTCTAAAAAAAAAATTGACATTCTACTCTCTTGTTTAAAAAATGTGGATCACTTCTAACGGGTTTGGTTTCAATACTTATCCCTCAGCTCATCCTTAAGATAAAATCTGGACCAATTAAATTTTAATTTGGATGGTCTAAATTTTAAGTATTATTTTATATTATATTTATTAAAATAAAAATTATAAAAATTTTATAATCATAATATAAATCAATATGTTATGATTATAAAATTTATAATATTAAATTAGACCCTTTAAATTACACCTAGATCATATTTAAAATAAAAATTTATTAAAAATATTTTATAAATTTTTATTTTAATAAATATAATATAAATTATAGAATAATATTTTTAATTTGAACTGTTCAAATTAAAATTCAGATGATCCAAATCTTATTTTAAGGATGAGCACCATATGCTAATCCTTAGGATGAGTAAGGAAACTAGTTCCTACTTCTAAGTAAACCTCACTTTTTAAAAAAATAATCATAATTATTTTTTTAATTTAGTATTCTTTTGTTATACTTATCTTTATTAAATAAATTTTTCACCTTTAAAAAAAATATAAAGTAACTTATTCATTAACAATGCTTTAATAAATATAATAATTATAACTTGAAACACTAAAAAATATTATATTTTTAAATATCTAACTATTTTTATATTTTCTAATAAAAAAGTATATAAAAAATAATAAATACAATAGTTTGACTGGCAACATAACCTCCCTTCATTTAAAAATAAAACGTATTTTTAGTGGAATCAATGCAAAAAGTTAGCTAAGTGTTTTTAAATTTATATTCTCTTCCTTTCAAATTTTAAAATAAAAGTTAATTTAATAAAATTTAATTGTTATAATAAAATTTTTATCTAGGTATATCTTTAAAAAAATCAATTAGATAAACTAAAAATTGTTTAAATTATATATAATAAAATGTATTTTTAAATATAAAATTACTAAAAAAGATATTAATTCATGATTATTTATAATTTTTATTATGTAAATGTAATATATTTGAAATTTTTAAAAATGTACAAAAATTTTAAATGACATAAAATTTGATATGTTTAAAAAATATAAAATATAAAGTTTAAAATATTGGAGAAAATTATATAGCAAATAATTCAACATACATTAATATTAAAAATTAACATAATTCAAAAATATAAATATATGATAATTTTTTAAAATTTAAAAAAAATTAGATGAATTGAGTTTTAAATGCTCACTAAAGTTAGGGATGCTTTCAAATTCAAATAATGCCAAAAATTTAATATCTAATTATTATTATTTAAATGATAATTATATTTTAATGAATTAACATTATTTTTTAAAAAAAAAATAGAAGGATAGTATGGTCAAATATAAAATTAGATATTAATGCTCCCAACCACAATAGCATTTTGGAAGATTCAGGATGGCGTGTTTGAAAATCCACTTTCAATGTTTATAGATGTACATCTTAATGTCCATTTTTCTCTATAAAAAATTATTTAAACAATTTTTCACATCTCATAAATAGAAAAGTACTTTTGGGATATTGTTGTTGAACATCCAAAGAGGCCCTATGTATGTTAATAAAGTTTAATAATTACATTTCATAAATTTATTTTTTTAAAATAAAAATATAAACCTCTTAAAATACCTTTAATTTAATATAATTTTAAATCTATATACTTAGTTATTAGACTACAATTATTTCAATTCTCTCTCCATTTAAAAGGTAATATTAAAAAAAATATTATTAATGAAACATTATTTTTGTTAAATTATCTTATATTTTGATTCAATGAAATACCTCTAAAGTTGTTTTAAAATTTGAGATGAAGTTGCCATCTTTTATATTTATCTTGATTTAATAAGATGTCTTATTTAAAAATGAATGATTAAGTCATTTATTTATTAAAGGTATTTTTGAAAAAACAAAAGAACTCATTAATTACTCATTAAAAAACTAAAAATCTTATATTCTTGAACATCTTACCTAAAAAAATATCTTATACTCCTCTGATTCTATTTATAGCACAAAAAGATAAGGTTAATTTTAATCCTATTTTCTAAGATACTTCACTATTTTTTAGGTTCATCTATACATTACTACTCTTATTAAATGTTAAAAAAATATTAAAATAATTTTTTATCCTTATTAGAGATAGAGGTGGTAACTTTTAAATTTTAAGATATAGTCCCTTCGTTAAAAAATGTAAGGCATTTTTTGAGAAGTTATATGTTCAAAAATGTAAGGTATTTTTAGTCTTTCAAAATGTAATCATTGTTTTTTTTTTTCAAAAGTATCCATATTAATAATGACTTTATATTTGTTATAGGTTATTTAATAGGGAGAAATATAAAAAGATAGAATTATTTTAAAAGTAAGTAATTACTTTATTAAGGGGCAAGATTCGATTAAAAATGTTTTACATTTTTTAACAGAGAGAGTAATTAATAAAATTTAATATATTTTTTTAGTTTCAATAAAAAATGATGAAAATAATTTATAAATAGAAAGAAGGGAGTATTTTTTTAGGGGAAGGAGGACCAAGTAATTTTAAAAAGTTACATTCACTCAATTTGACTAATTTTGTAAACCAAGGGCACATATGGCTGTAAAGGTCTTATAGTATCATTTTTGGGTCAAAATTAAGGTCACATGCCTTATTAGCTCTTCGCTGATTGATAGGACCTAAGCTGTACAGATTAGACAATTTTTGATTTCATTTATTAGCCTGATGTTTCGGGTTTGATGTGTTTTCCTTCACCCCCTCTCTCTGCAGGTTTATTGCCAATGTCCATACAAAGCCAAACCACTAGGCATACTGCAACATCGATCTATTACACAAGAATAGGACACCCTGGGAAGTTACAGGAAGCCAATATGCCTTCTGCTCTAACTAATTAGTCAATGATCGTTTATGAAAATAGATTTGTGCTAAAATGTTTTTACCAGTAATTGGAATTTTATTTGACGTTTAGATTACTAAGTTTAATTACTTTTAGTAGAATCAATTTACGTGATTCATTAAATCAAATAATAGTCGCCGAGCCATTGAAGTCTTCATTCATATTTGACAATGAGGTGCGACTGCCCCTACATGCTCCCTCATCCCATTTCATGCCATTGCTAATTGGAGTAGCTCCTTAAAACCATACCTACTTTATAAGGAGAAGTTGTGTCAAAAACATTCGTGTAAATATGACCAGTGAAACCCCGCATCTTTTCATACAATAACATAATTCATGATTTTGCAAATATTATCAAGGACAATCTTACACAAGAATTTAAAACTTAAACAATAGTCAACTCTTAAAGCACCCAACCCAAGCTACTTCAGAGCCTCCGTTCACAATTTATTGATATTGCCATCATTTTGACTTCAAAACACAAATTACAGCATTTTTCATTCATATTAGGCCTTACAATCTTTTAGGGCGTGTTGGCAAACCTCCAGCTAAATTGGTCCCAACTCTTAAAGTATTGATTGCCTGCAACTTTACCAATAGGACTGTCTTGGAAATTTCTTTAAGGTCCCCTATCTGAAAGTTTCACTATTAAGACACCCAAATTTTGATCTAGGTTCTTAATCTTTGTTATTCCTAAAAAGGTTTAAAAAATCCATATCAATTAATTCAAAAGAGATGGACAAATACCAAGATAATAACTATAGGACAAAAAAAACTTGATGCAATAATAAATTTGAATATTTGACATGCTAATGCAATCCAATATGATTGCTGAATATTTGACATATAATTTCAACATACTAATTTTTTTCAAACTCGAAGCTTATAGAGTGGTCTAAGTACAATTATAAATCATGTTTTTCAACAACAATCTTGAAAGAAACCTTTATCAATAAAGTATATTGTCTAGTTTTACAAAGCCACAATAATGCCCACAGACAGACAAACACGATGCATATTAGTTTGTTTAGACAACAAAATAACAAGCCTTGATTAATTGTCAAAATTAGAGTTGTGAGTTTAAATAGGAATATAGGCTTAGGCCAAAAAAAAGGAATATAGGCATTAGGGAGCGACCGACTCACCAGGGATAAGCACAACATTATTGCCTTGTTGGATTACCCATGCTAATGCTAGCTGAGCAGGAGTACAATGGTGCTTCTTAGCAATATTTTCTATTCAATCATATATTTTCTTGCTCTTCTCCAAATTCTCTAACTAGAAGTGAGGATATGAGCTCTAATGTGTGAAACAACATAACCATCAAACAACCGTGGCTCTTAAATAAAAAATTGTTTTGCTCTTTCAATGCTTTAATTTAGCAATAGTGTGAAACATTTTAACATTCAAGAAAATTATGTATGATTAGTTAACCTCATGAGTATAATTAGTGAATTAATGAGGTGTGTGATAAGAGAGGCCTAATTGATATAATTTATTATAATTTCAACTTTGGAAGTAGGTCCGAATCGATGGCAAGTCACCCAAGCATAGAAAGAGAAGGAAAAAGTAAAGGAATGCC